TTATGATTTGTTTCTCATCTTCTGGTTGTGATCTTTCAGTCTGTGAGTCAGAGGAAACTACTCTGCAGCTAGGAAAGGAGAATAGTCACAAAGATGAATCCCAGAAACATCCTCCAGACTGAGCTCACAGTTTTTGTCTCTAGAGCTTTAACTACAGTGATGCCCTTGCCCCACTTTTCTGCCCCATGCATCTGCTGGAGGTGATGACCCTGGTATCTGTCAGCAAGATGAAATGCACACCTGCAGCTCTGCCATGTGGTCTTGTAGTCCCAAATATCTGCTTAAACCATCAGTAAAAGGGAGTTGAACACAGACTATGAACGATGCCTCAGAGGAGGTGATATATGTATATGTTCCATTCGAATGGTATTGCAACCAGAGAAATCATTTCAGAGGAGCTGGGAACATTACTAAGAAATTATCAATCACAGCTCCCTGTTTTGTGTATCAGAGCCCCTGAATTATCAGCAACAAGTTAAATCAGCCTGCAGATATCAAAGCTGCAGGAATCAGATCCTAAAAATCTTAGAGCATTATGATTGTATTGTCTCCAACTATTTGATGGAATTGACCCTTTTCAAGGAGGGGTTGATTTGCAGACTTTCTTTAAATAGTGAAAATGATTTTGGGCTGGAAATTATTGCTGCAATGGTTATGGCTAAGTGCTGGCATAGGTTGCCCAGAGAAGTTGTGGAGTGTCCATTCATGGAGGTTTTCAAACTCAACTACATAAGGTCATGACCATCCTTCTCTGACTTCAGTTATCCCCACTTGGAGGGGAGGCTTGGTCCGTAAACCTCTAGAGATTCTTTCCAACCTAAGTTATGCTATCACTCTATGATATGATCCTCCCCAACGTATGTTTTATAAATCAGATGCCTCTTTCATGGTTGGTGTATAGTAAAGCCATCTGTGCTTTAAAATAGCTTTACACTGTCTTAGAATAGAAAATCATTACAGTTTCTCCTGTGCAGCAGAAGACTGGTACTATCATTCTTTCTAGCACATACTTCAGTTGCAAATAGTATTTTGCAAAAGCAAAACTTTCTAATATAAATGGATGATCAAGTATCATCCCCTCTCAAATACATGCATTTAAAGAATAGGGGTTTGAATTCCATAAAGACCAGTGTTTTCCCTGAAGTGATGGCTATCATGCCTACGAATTGGCAGTATTCAGAAAGTTTGGCTTGATCTTTGGGCTCTAAAGGGAATAGATCTTTGCTTTTGAGAATCTCACTTACTCACAGAGGAGTTTTCAAGCAGGATAAGGAAATAATGATCCAACAGGAACATGTGAATGCTAGAAAATATGAAAAGAGATCGATGCAGTAAACCATTTGACTCAAAAATGTTAATATAGGCCAACTAATCCAGTTTTCTCACCTTGATGAAATCACCGTGTAATCTTGCTGCAAGTGACTCCTAAGCCTGATGCTGAATCATAGTGATGTTGTGATAAGTGAGGAGGTGGAAGAAGTCTCATGTTGGCGTTCCAGGTTCAGCACCGAGATGACAATAAACTGTGTCCAAAGGAGGACAGTGTCCTCTGTGACCTGCTGGTTTACACAACTCATGGATGATGTCATGCCATGCATTTAAGCTTTATAAGTGTCTCTAAGGCATAGAATAAGCTTGTTTTGTGTTCAGCGACATTATCCTCCAATAAGCAAGACAAGGCATGGAACAGAGATTATTAATTGATAGGAGCCGATAGAAGCAGTTAACTAGATAAAGGGTAGTTTTACACTGAAACATATTTACCAGACAGAAGAGGGTAGAAACTGCAAGGGGGAAGAACTGAAACACTTGATGAACTCACTTTTTATTGCATTTTATTCATTCTTAGGTATAAACCATATGAAGAAATGTCAAAGGCAAGATTTCGGAAAGCTCTGAAAATCCCAATACTAAAAATCAGGGCCCTGATGAAGGCCATCAAAATGATGAGAGATTTAGTTTTAGATGTTGTTGGGATGAACTCTGAGACTGCTGGATTAAAGGAAGGGTACACTGCTTGCTTAGTCCTATGAGAAGAATTAAGGTGCTCTTTCTTATTTTGGAGATATCAAGTGATCTTTCCTGGTTTAGCAGTGTTTCCCAGCATGAGTTTGGCCCAGCACAACTAGCAGAGGTGTCAATATGTCCTGCACACCCTTCAAGGATGAGCCCGGGCCAGGAACCGTTCCCTAGAGGTGATTTTGGTGCAGCCACTTGTTCTGGAGGAATTTGATGCCATAGAAGCAGCCAGGCAAAGCTGTGGTATATCAACACCTGTATGGGGCCCCATAGATGCTACTTTGATACTCGAACTAGGAACAATAATCATCCATCTGTGAATCCTTATTGCTAACTTGCAACATTACAACAGAGAAAAAAATCCCTAACAAATGTTGATATTGAGCACATTCATTGTGATGGCAACTCTAAGTTTGATTTTGATTCTTTTCAACCGACAGCATTTTACTTTCGCGCTCCCCTGTTGCTTTGTGTGTTCCTTTTATATCTGCTAGGATGCAAATAATTCATTAGAATTAAAAAAGCGGGCCAAAGCCGCAGCTGGTGTAAACGGTGAGAGCCCTGTGGATGCCAGCTCGCTCCAGCTGAGATCTGGCCTTACATAACCTCATTTTAAGGGTACCTTCAGGCAGCCTCCGCTGCAAGCCTTCCAGCCGAGCAGTCACACATGTCCTCATTTCCTCCCTTACAAGGAGCGGGCTGTAAACACCCTGGGGTGCATGGAGATAATGGCCTCTTGCAAGAGTGAGCAGGAATGCAGGCAGAGGAGGCAGCAGGAGGGTGAGCCTTCAGATGAATAACACGCCTCATCCCACCCCTCTTCTTCCAGGAGTGAGCATCGGGGAGAAGGCTGGTGCCATGGAATGGGGAGAGAGATGGTGCCTATCCATATGGTGTGTATTGCTACCATGACACCTAGGATGTAACCATGGTCCTGCAGTCCCATGGCAAAGTAGGGTTCTCTGGAGAGAAGTGGAGGAAGTTAAGGAGATGCTAGGAAGGGTGCTGTACCTGTTGCTCTCCTGGTCTTAGTAAGTCCTACTAAGCCTACTAAGGTGCTGCAGGTGTAAGTTGCAGCCTACCCAGCAGAGGTAATTTTCTGAGCTCCTCCTTTCCCTAGAGGTCTCTTTCTGGCTCCTCAAGCATGCTCTCCCATTTGTCAAGCCAGGGTATGCTGCTCTGAAAACAAGCGTTGGTTGCAGTTGGTCAAGAAGAGTTTTCCAACATGGAATTGTTGGGATGGGACTGAGTACTTCAAATCCTATTCCCTTCTGTCTTTCCATATACCTATACTAGTAAACTGGGCAATTTCAAGACCTGCTTGTGGGCATTGTAAATTCATCATGATGCTTAATTTAGTATAATCACTTGGATTGATCAAGGCTTACTAGTACTCTCCCTGAGCTGGGCAGGGTTCAGGACTCTCCAGGGATCATTCCCAATACTGAGTATGAAGGCAGCTACCTGGTTTTGAAGAATGACATGAGTTCACTTCTGTGGTCATTCTTGGCCCTTTGGTCTTAGGAAAAGCAATCAGGCCCCTGTCCTTTGTTGACTATTGTAGGTATAGTCTGAGATTCCATACCTTGGTCAGCTTGTGGTTGTGTGGGACAGGCCATCACGACTCTTCCTTCCTCAAAACATAGCCCAAGGCCTGTGTTTCTATGCCTTTCTGTGCTCCTGCACCCCTCTTACACATCAGCATCCTCTTCATTTCAAACCAGCCTGTTGCCTGAGGCATCCTCCTACCCTTTCTGCTGGTGATGTTCAAAGCCACCTCTGTAAATTGAACAGTGCCAAGTCACAGGCACAGTCTTTTGATAGTTCACCCTGTTAAAGTGTTAACACAGACTGTGGCAATTTTGGCCAAAGCCAACTAGCATGGCCATAGCCACATGGAGGTCGAGTCATGCCAGCTGGCCAAGGACAAAGGCTGGTCTTTGGTCTGCTTTGTGTGTGAGGTGTCCCTGCCCAGGGCAAGGGGTTGGAACTAGATGATCTTAAGGTCCTTTCCAACCCAGACCATTCTATGATTCTATGATACATCCAGACCCTCTGACTTTTTAATCCTATCCCTGGACATTTCTGTTACAGTCCTTGCTGAGACAGCCAAACAGCCTCTGTCATCCACATGAAGCATCCTTTTCCATAGAAGTTAAGCTGTTGGAGTATTTGTTTACAGTAGGAGCATCTCCTCTTCTCCATCTTGGTGGCACCCTGGGGCTCTCTTCAAGGGTTGTTTGACCACAGTTCCAAAGCTGATGGCTTTGGCTCCTTAAAAGCACGAGACAGCTTTGGCGCAGAGACAGCAGAGACTTTGCCCTGTGCAGTTTGTGTGCTACTGTGACATACGTAGTAAATAAGCGTGAGGGTAATTATACCAACAGGAATTCTGGGAGCCCTGCCAGAATGGAAGAGACAGCCAACCCTTTGTGCATTTAAAGGAAATCACCCCGAATCCCCCTCCCAACCCCAAATTAATTCTGTCTCTTGAAGCCATGATGAGACTTAGAACTAAAAATACATGCACACACACACTCGGATATAAATATAGCCAACATTTGAAAAATAAAAAGCCCAAAGTAAGGCTCCTGTATCCAAAATTAAGCTCTTAAATAAATAAATTAGCCTGATTTTCTAAAGCACGGAGCAGTGAATGGCTTTCACTGACATAAGAGGAGGCATCGTGTTGCTAAAGATTGAAGGTCGGGCCTGAGTATGGATTTGAAAGTCTAATTATAGACTCCTGTTTGCTACCAGCTTGTTCAAGAACAACAAATTTCAGGTGAAATGATGCTGGTTTCATTTTTTCTTCAGAGTTTGCATGCACTTAACCAGTGTTAGTACAGGTAAGAAATGACCCTCAAACAAGTAAATGAAGTAGCACAGAGAAACAGATCTATTGGAATAAAACTGCTTACCCCAGTGCTGCACATTGGTGTTTGGAAATAGGGCTAAGAGTCACCAGTGTTACAGCTGGGTGGAATTTTATATTGATTAATTAGACAGGTGTTTATTAATTGTTGAAAGCCTACCAGGTAGAAATACTGCTTTTCCCAGTTAACTCTTGTACTTCCTCTGCTGAAAATTCACAATTGACTGGAATCAAAGAGGAAGAGGGCTTTAGTCCTCCTTTTCCTCTCTTTTTCAGATTTGGGTCTAAGGGATGCTGAAGAGAGAGCGCCATATTTTTGTATGGACTGAAAAGAGAGTACAAAGAGAAATTCTTTTCCCTTTAGCTACAAAGGGTACTTGGAGCTTTTTTGCTCACACACTGCTTATTTGGGAGGCTGTGACCTTTTGCTGGCCAATATTATGCCAAGGGATCCCTGAGGCCACAGTCTCATGTGGCATTTGGATAGGGACAGATTTGTCCTTCTGGATCTTCCAGCACAGATCAGATTGAGCAGGGCTGGTTTCATGGTGTCGAGTGAGTATGTTGACCCCGGATGGAGGACCATCAGCAAGCAGAGCAAAACTCCACTCACCTGTTTGTGTTGTGGTGTTTAGATCTGGGTTCTGATGCCAGAAGACTTTGGAGAGCTCTTTGGTGCTCCATGACTCAGTTTCGCCATCTATGGAAGGGGAAAAAAATGCAGTTGGACTTTGCAAAGGTCCGTGGGCTCAGCAGGTGAGGGAATTTGGTGTTACCATCATTGCCATAGTTCTGGCCATTGAGGGAGATAGGATCAGGGCATTATAGAATCATAGAATCATAGAATAGTTAGGGTTAGAAAGGACCTTAAGATCACGTAGTTCCAACCCCCCTGCCATGGGCAGGGACACCTCACACTAAACCATTATATTTAATCCAACACATTTTAATGTCCTTTTGTGCATGCTGCCCCCATGAATAGGTGGTATGTCTTCTCACTGTGGCCAGTTAAAAACATTTATGCTGAAACTGTGTGGATGGTGGTGAATTCCTGGAGACCAAGGAGGAATCACTGCACAATGTGGTGTCTCTCTGTTAGTTTCTTCTTGATCTTTTTCAAGTGACTCAGTGGTGTTGTTACAGGTCAGTTCTGCCGACCTGGAGTGCTTGGAAAAGTGAAGATGGTCTTAAAAATAACCAAAACCTAGAGACAGGTGATGGGGACAGCAATGCAGAAGAGAAAAGGTCTAGAAAATGTGAGCTGTGAGAAAGGACTGAAGGAAATGGTGGGATTTTTTAGTCTGGAATAAAGAAGGGTTTACATGGTAACTATGTGCAAACAGGTAAAAGACTGCTGCAGGGTGAAAATGAATAAATTCTCCTTGTCTATGTCCATAAATTAGTGGCTTAACCTTCAGAAGAGGCATTTAGGTTTCATGTACTAGCAGGAATGGGAGTTCCTGCAAAGGGGAGGCCACACAGGACTGCTGGACAGATCTGGGGAATAACCCCTGGAAAGAGTTTGGCAGAGGTGATGCTGTGTTGCCCATGGGCAGCATCCTACGTGCAGCACCACGCTGGTTTTCAGTGGCGGTTGTGTTGCTGATGCTATAAAAACCAGCTGCATGCTCCTTCTCTCTACTTTTTCCTTGAGCCATTACAGCTCCCACCCCCCGTATCGCCTTTGCAGCTAAACTGCGTTTAGTTTCCTGCATGCAGGGAGGGAAGGCAGGATCCCTGTGTCATCCTGCAGCAGCGTCTTTCATGGAAAGACCAAGTACAGGCGGTGGCTTTGTGCCTGTTGGGGGGCGGGAGGAGGACTGATGTCCATCGAAGAGCAGCGGTCCACGACCATTCCCACCCGCCTCGGGCTGTGATGGGGGTGTCACACCAGTGTCACCAGTGTCGTGTGTGACTGGCGTGGCGTTTACTCGAGTGTCGAGCCCCATCTGGTGGCTTTCCTGTGTCATTTACTGTGTCCTTGTGTCGCTCGGAATACTTCATCTGTGCTTGTCCACTGCGAACGGGCAGGAAGGACAAGGGGCTGGAGAAAGGGCAGGGCTTGCAGTCCTACCTCTGCTGCTCTCCCGGCTCCCTGTCCCTGCGTGTAATTTGGAGACACGGAGGCTGCCGAGGCTTACATCCTTTCCTCCTGCTCTTCCTTGCTGTGCAGTCTCTCCCCGAGTGGCAAGGAATGATCTAATCGTTTTGGCAAAACCCCAGTTTGTGCTGTGAGCCCCTCCCAGAGCCTCCAGAAGGCACGTCATCCCACTGTCATGCTGGCATCTGAGGTGGGACAGATGAACAGTCCCGGGAGGGGACATTTCTATATCTACAGACTAGCTCAGATGATCAACTTAAGGGGCAGCGTTAGGTGAAACAGTTCCTATCCCAAACAAGTTTATGGCCACCATTCAGGATGAGAAGGAATAAGATCCAACATTAGGCCATTAATACCAGCACGTAGGAGATGCTTCCTTTCTTAAATGCCATGAGTCCTGTGACATATGATTCTGTGATATCTGTGTACCCTGTGCTACCCTGACTTGATCAGCTCCATTCACAAAGGCTGGCCAGATGTTCCCTGCAGGGACGTTGCATCCCCAGGGTGAGGTTTGCAGGCCTCTTTGCACATCTGTCTGATACAGAAACAGAGGCAATGATAGAGCAATGTTTGTCCATGCATGAGACATCTCTTTCTAGCCCAACACTGCCCAGAGTCTCAATGGCTAACCAGTGGCAAGCTGTGGCCTTGTGCAGTTGTGGGTCACACATGTACTGAAGGTGAAGGTGGTGTCCCATTTGAGGATGGTGCCAGACACTTTTCTGTGGTGCTCAATGACAGGATGAGGACCAATGGCCATAAACTAAAACCCAAAGAGTTTCACCTCAACATGAGGAAGAACTTCTTTATGTTCAGGGTGGCAGAGCAGTGAACAGGCTGCCCAGGGAGGTTGTGGAATCTCCCTCTCTCAGACATTCAGACCCTGCCTGGATGTGTTCCTGTGTAACGTGCTTTAGGTGGCTCTGCCTTGGCAGCAGGGTTGGACTAGATGGTCTCCAGAGGTCCCTTCCAACCCTAACGATTCTGTGGTTCTGTGATGCTGTATTTGTCAAGTAGCTTCTCCTCTTTTCATTTTGCTAAAAAGTGCATGAGTTGTTTTCTTGTGCAAGTATTTTGTGAGAACTTCCTACCCCCACATTTGGGTGGTGCGAGTCAGAGGTTTCCCACTCCTGCAATACAAAAGTGGTCCTTGGATCTTGCAGGAGATAGTGTTAGAACTGCATTGACCCCTGTTTCTACCCCAGATTCCCTTTCCCCCAGACAACCTCCCTCAGCCAAACAACTGCCCACAGCCCCATCCTCCTCAGGCATCGATGCATGCCAAAGTCTCACACTTAGCTTTTCTTCCTGTTTCCTGCAGGTATATCCGAACTATGTACCTGGGGATCCAGAGCCAGAGGCGGAAGGAACACCAGCGGCGTTTCTACTGGGCTATGATGTACGAATATGCAGACGTAAATATGTTGCGCCTCCTGGAAACTTTCCTCGAGAGTGCCCCTCAACTGGTGCTACAGCTCTGCATAATGATCCAAAAGAACCGTGCAGAAACATTACCATGTAAGTGGCCCCCTCATCCCCCTCCCCATCCTCCCAGCCTCCCCGCTCTGATCTCATGCTCAGCACCCGATGGATGTTTTGCTAACTGTCCACCCTACACAACCTGGTGTGTAAGGGGCTGCCACTTTGGACAAATCTCATTCCAGCTGTGTGCTGCATTGTTTGCTGGGTAAAATCTCTGCTCATTCTGATGATTAAAAAAGAATCAGTGAAAAGATGAGATTCAGCTCTTCCACATCGAGTCCAGTCTAAAGAAATGATGGTGGTATTAGGAGGAGGGAGGAAGTCTCTGCTGTTATGGCAAGTATCACCATTCGTTTGCTGCCTGGTACTGGCAAATCATTCCCTGCCTCAGTTTCCCTCCTTATGTAAGTAGGATGATAAAACTGTGCAGATTTGTGTTGAGAAGACAAACAGTTCAATGCCTGTGCAATGCTCTGATGGTGTGAAGTGTAGTATAAGGGGGGTTTTCAACAGCTAAATGCTGAAGGACCTTCTGAAGAATGCCCAAGAATCAAGGTTTAATCATTGGTACCACGGTTCTCTGCATGTCAAAGGAAAGAGGGGGGGTAGGCAGTGGAGGGAGTTGTGTAGGGACATGCATGTTGTAGTGCAGATATCATTACAAAAGTAGATGAACAGAGGCTTGGAAGCAACCACAGAGAGTTTGCCAGTTCTGATGTCCTTTGCTGCAGTGATGTCCTGAGCACAGGGCATCCACCCCAGTGGAGAAGCATAAGCCCCTGTCCCTGCCCTGGGGTGAGCAGCTCAACCAACCCCTCCCTACACATGGGCTGGCTGCCTAAGGTTCACCAGCCTGTGGGAGAGTTGTCCTTTCCAAGAACCAACAGTGGTATCAGCTGATGAGCTGCTGGTTTATTCAGCCTCTGCTCAATTCACACACCAGGGATGACACTCAGTTTCCCAAAGGCAGCCTGTTTGTAGCATGCCCTTTCTGACAGACCTGAGGAGTTTCTTGGATCTGGGATTGGAACTGGGCACTTTATCAGGGTTAAATTTTGCTGGTTGGACCAAGGCCACTGCTATCTGTAGCGTGAGTAAGTCAGACTGCTCTCCCCTACTCCATGCTTTAAGCATACCCATCACAATTGCTTATAGAGGCCTCCCTTCTCCTATTTATGTAGTAGTCCTCTGAAACCTCTCACCACAAGCTCTCCAGGCCTCCAAAGTGCTGACATGATAAACATTCATTTCTACAACTACTGCTAGAGCTACACACATTTGGCAGCACCCTTTTCTTACTGCTTCCAATATTATTAATCCTACTAAAAATATATAAATCTCAACCTAAGAGGGTTGCCAGGGCATTATGCAGATTGTTGGACTCATTACAGAAAGCACTGGGTGAAGTTTCCTGGCCTCTGTTGTGCTGCAAGTCAGATCACACGGCCGAATAATCCCTCCAGGCTTTCAAATCTGGGGCTCTTTCAGTTTGCCACTTCCAGGCATGGCTGCCTAATCCACTGAACAAGCTGCATCATTTTCCAGCCCCCTCCCTTCCTCGGCTATGCAGTTCCTCCGTTCCTCCACCACACCGAGCAGGCTGCGCTCTCTTCCAAGGCAGCGCACGTCCCCGCCTGCCTCCCCAAGCCCTGGAGGGCTCTTCGCCTGCCACGCTCCAGCAGCCGAGCTCTCAGCATCCCCAGTGCACCCTCTCCCTTCCTCCCTCCCTGCCTGTGCCAGGGATGCGGTCGCGCATCTCAGGGCTGCATGCTGCGCAGCGGGCATTGCTGATGGATGCGAGCAGCAAAGCTTGCTCAGCGCTCCTGACTCAGGTACAAGGTTTCCTAGAGCTCCTTTGGTGCTTCTGCCTTCCTCCTCCTCCTGGCCAGTACATAATTATATAAAAGGAAGTTAATGCTGAGAGGAGCCGTTATGAAAGGGAGCACCGGAGATTTCCATTAAAGCAGGCAGAAAGCAAAGGAAGATAGATATTGTTAGGAAGGCGGTGTGTTTAAAAATCAAATCAAGTCTCTCCTGGCTCATTGTGTCTATGTGAGCATGGGCTTGTCACAGGAAGATGCCAGATCTGCCTCTAAACAGGGATGGTATCAGCTGTGTCGTTGAAGGATGCACACTGGCAAAACATCCCACAGCAGGGCTTATAAACCCAGGCACAGCCTGTGCTGATAAACCCAGGCACAGCCCGTGCTGGTATGTCCAGACTCCATATGGTTCACACAGTGACAGAAAGGCCTCTTGTGGTTGTAGTGAGTAAGAGAGCACTGGAAGGGCTAGTAGAAGAGATTACAGTCAGGCTAATGCATAGTTTCCTCATTTCCATATCCATTGGGTTGGTGGAAGAAAGAAAAGCCTCACCATCTCACCATACCTTGTAAGAACCATTTTACCCTGAAGTGGTACCTGTTTGAAACGGTTGGGTGGAACCTGTGTTTATTGCTCCTTCAGTGCTCAAAGAACAGACCAGTTCCACTAATGTGTCCCTGCTCACCCTAGAGTTAGCATCTCCTGCATGGTCTGACACCACAAGCAGCAGAAGTGCTGGAGCTAGAGTTTCAGGTCAAGTTCCAGCTTGAGTAAATCTTGGGACAGTACCCCTGGGATTTCATAAAGGTCAGGATTCATTCCCCCATCATACCCCTAGCACAAGGCAGACCAAATCCCAGCTTAGGTGCTGTTGCTTGATGACTTGGGAAAAGCAGAAAATAGCACAGAGAGAAAAGAAGTGAGAACTTGCTGTACTTCATCAGGTGAGCAGATTGACCTGGAAGGTGCACGCTGAGAGGCTGAGCTGAAATACTTTATGCAGCAGCTGCTGGGATGGAAAAAAAAAGGGTCAACATCAGCTCTTGGATATGCATGTGGAAGCCCTTCATGAGCTATTCATCTGCTACAACCACAGCTGTGTGGGTCCCTCACCTTCCTCAATGGAAGGTGAGGGAGGAAGGATGCCTCCAAAACTTGGATCAACCATTATTATCCAAAGAGAATGAAGGCAGTGAGATGAGATTCTAGCCCTCCAGTAGCGCCTTTCTCCAGGGAATCTAGACAGAACCTAGGTGATGTGTTTAGACCTACTTTCAGGGTTAGGTAAAAGAAGGGGATGGGACTTAGAAGAAGATGCAGCTCTGCCCCTCACTCACGTTAACTGTCTCCAGGATTTAGGAGAGGATGGAATGCAAGGATGTCCATCTCAGATTCAGGGACGGCACTGGCCGAGGACTTTCCCTGATTTAAATAACCTGGTGTATTTGCAGGGGGAAACATAATATTAACAACAAGAAAAGCCCAGCAACCTAGATCTTCATTTCATAATCACTTCTAGGAGTAAATCCACCTCACTTCTTGCAGAATAAACTATCCTTAACCCACTTCATCCTACAGAGGTGCCTGTTTCTTTACACTGAATGGAAAAGAGCGCTTACAACCAGCTTAAAGGAGACACTCAGCTTCTAGGCAGTTAGTGAGGTGAGAGGGATTCCAGTTTCTCAGCATAAATCTCCTCTTAAAGAGGTTTCTTTTTACTTAATTTTTTATGTGGCTGCTTTAAGACTTAATAAGATTTAGCAGAATCTCTAATGTCCTTCCACTCATGTCACAGGCTCCTTATGGATTCCCAGCTTTTGCTGGGAATTTGCCTCCATGAGGCTGCAGTTTACAGTGCAGGGTTTTCCCCCCCACGAAAAGGCCTGTGTACCCACTGATGCTGTGCCCATCTCCTCTATAACCCTGCTGCTGATCTGAAAGAGATTTGCAGCATGAGCCTTCATTTTGCAAAGTCCTTTGGAAATCTCCGGGATTCTGGGAGGTGTCAGCCCACAGTAGGTAGTCTGAAGCTGCTTGTATATTTAAGAAAAAGCAACATCAGCCTCATTTTTTATGGGGGTGGCTCTTTTAAGCAGAGGCATATAAGTTAGGAGCTAAAAGGGACTTTAGACATCTCAGCTATGGCTGTGTGTTGGCTGCAGAGTTATCCTGGTGGAGTCTGCAAATCTTCTTGCCCCATCCAAAGCAAAGCTCTATCTTTTATCATGTCCTCCCTCTTTCTGTATAATGTCTGGGGGCCGTTTATGATCAGGTCTTGTCCTTTTCTTCAGGGGCACATTAAGATGCTTTTCCCTGTCACTTACCTTAGAAGACTTAACTGGTCTTTGCAGGGTATTGATGTACAAGCAGCAGGGGTGGGTTAGCCGCTGTCCTCACTTCCCAGACAAGGCATCCCCCATCAAGCTGAGTGGGTTCAGGATGAACCAACCTCAAGTTAAGCCCTCCTGCACCTGAGTGAGAAGATTCCTGTGTGGGTGATAATGATTAAGTCTAACATGGAGGCACATTTCTCACTTAATTTTCCCCAGTGACAGGGTGCTAGTTAACCAGTAATATGCTGTGAATAATGGATATGCTGTGAAATGCATACTGTCCGTAATGTCCTGTTGGATATATTCACAGGATAGGGAATATCTTAAGGCACCATGACTTGCTGAGGAATGATTTGAGATCTAAAACCAAGGCCATATCTAAAGGACAGCACATGAATGGATCACTTCTTTCTCAGTCCTCTTGCCACTCAGGCCCCAAAGATAAAAGTAAACTTCTTAACTGGGGAAATCACATTAGAAAAAGAGCCTTCAGCCTTTCGTTGCCTGAGGTATGATTTTCAAATGTGATCAGCACTGGCCTGAATGTAACTGAAGAGGCTAAAATGCCCATGTCTCCACTGAAAGTGGTGAAGAGACTCGTTAGATTTGAAAGTTCATCCTACAAGTAGCACTGCTAACCTTGAAGGGACACTAGAAGTTAGTGCAAGATTCCCCATGCTGGCCTAAGCTGTCAGAGAGCTCAGCAGAAATGACATCAGCAATAGACATGCATCATCACCACTGCTGCCAAGTTAGCATGGGCCTGCCATGGTTCTGGCTTGGACCAGCAAACTTTAAGCCAAACAATCCCGAAGGACTGCTTGGGAGTATACACAGACCAGGGACCATTCCCAGTGGGCAGTTGGACATGGGCACAGTTGGATGACAGGAGATGAGATATGGATGGGGCAGGAGTGTGCCTACTGGCTGCTGGGCTGGAGAACAATCCCTACAAATACTTGATTCTTGGTAGCTATGCAGCCAAAGAGGACCATAGAAGGAGATGCTGTGCTGGATAGAAAAGTATGCATAGGGTTTGCTGTGGGGTGTTGCTGCCTGTTCTCTATAGGTGTCTTTCAATTTGGGTGTATCTAAGTATATACATTCCAGCAGTGCTCAACTGTGGATCCAAAACCCCAAATTCAGATCTCTGTAAACCTTACTGAACAAAATTGTCCCCATTTGTGCAGCGTCCCGTAACCAGAGTTACCCATTAGAACTAAACTGAGGCTTACCCTCGCTACACAAGCATCAGATTCTACAAGGCTCAGTACAAAAAGAGCAACATGTCATCTACAGACTGTTTGGGATGGCTAAGACATTCATGCAGGGCCAAGCAAAGTCCTTTTCCTCCAGAAACAGAACCCCTTTTCCTTTTCTGACCTAAGATCCAGTAAGATAGCTGCAAAGTAGGCCTAAAAATATTTTTGCCTTGTAGAGTCCCCTAACAAGAGATAGGGTGGAGGTATGATCTACCGGTCACACTCTGGGCTTTGGCTTGGGCTGTGAGACAGATTATAAGGAAATAAAGATGTTAAAACTTTGCCCATGGGGTTGAAGGCATAATTTTCTTCCTCTCATGCCATTTCTTGGGGAAAAGAAATGGGAAACATCCATCACCCAGCCCTGGTTCCCTGTGACAGAAGAGGCATGAGCAGGAAAGCAGTTGCTCATTGCCGTGTGGGCAAGGGATCCCACCATTTGTGTGCTTGCTGAAGGGGCTTGGCAGGGAGAAACTGGGGTATTCTGCATTGAAAGTTTGTCCTGATTCAGCCACAGTTTCCCTTTAAATGTTCATCAGCAGACCAAGGAGGCACCTCACAAAATGCCCAGATAGCTCCAAAGACATAAGCAGCTCACCTGGGAGGCCACTCATATGACTCAAGTGCTTTGCCAGACTGGGGCATATGGCTCTGTTCCTGCTTCCCCTCCTTCTCACCAAAGCCAGATGACAGCAATTTGGTGCCCTGCTTGAAACGAGTCGCTGGTCCCAGGCCAATTCCCAGCAGCATCAAAAAGCCATCTCCACAGTTGGCAGTGGGCAATGAGGATGTCTTGCTCTGGCATGCTGAGAGCAGGCCAAGCCTGAGGCGTGCTGGCATTGAGCAGCACAGGGAGAGCTTGCCCTATCATCAGCCGTATTGTCCCAGCACAGTGGGGAAGGACTGGGTCCAGGAGCCTTTGAAGCCAATGACAGCTTTTTTTTTCCAATGGGCTTTGGAGCAAGCCCAAAGAGACACGTCAGCCCTTAGCCCATCCCCACCTGCAGCTTGTCCATCCACCACCTTGCCATAGTCCTTGCTCTGTTATTTTAGGGTGCTGATAAAAAACCTTCTGTTCCGTACCATGTGCCACCATCACACTTATGACATGCCACAGCCAATAGAGATGAGTCACCATTCACGGGACAGCACTGGCAGGTAGCCAGTACTGCCAATTTTAGGCTTTTTAAGACTGTGGTAATCACTGGGAGGGGGTTACATCATCAGAGCACTACACAAGCATTAGCACATGCTGTTCCTAGGAGCTGCAGGACAGCTGGGAAACTGAGGCACAGAGAAAGAGGTCTTGGAAAAGATCTGTACCTTGCAGGCTCCTGGGGAGCAAGTTCATGCCAAGCAGATTCCAGGCAGGAAATTAAGGCTTTTTTTCAGGTAAATGTATACTGCAGACTTTCCTGGAGACATACCTCTCATGGAAAATTTATGATTAGAGCATATGAGAAGGTGGCTGCACACCACTGTGCAACTGGCTAGTAAAACACATGGAAATGCAAGTATTTTCATCTTCAGGTTGCTCTAGTGTGCAGCTCCGGGGTTCATATCAGGCATCTAGGAGAGCACGCTAACTGTGGGTAAACACAGAACACATAGGCACTGAGATGTGCAAAAGTAAATGGGGAAGATGATGGGGAGTGCTGGCAGGGACTTCTCTGTGCTTCTACCCCTGATGTAGGTGGAGCAGTTTTGGTTGAGCAAGTGGCTCAAAATCAGTGAGTACTGAAGGAAAAAACTTTCTTGTTTCAGAAACTGTCACTTGTTTTATATGGTCAGCTTTGGGTGACAGTCGTGAGTCTGGGGGTAAAGCAGATTTACTGAGGCAGGAGAAATCTCCTGAAATGACTTTTGTCCTAAGTGGCGTTTGACCAACCTCATGCTTTCAGTGCCCTCAGCACTTTCACCTCTTCATACGGACCAACACTGACGGGGGACATCCACCAGCCACGGCCCTTTCCCTATCACAGGACCCCACATCTGATACACCCTAAGATGCAAACAGATATTTGCGGCAGGGGAATAGATGTGTGGTTTGATCTCAGCCTGTCCTTGGGAAAGGTGATGTTCATTCTTCTGTTGAAGAGGCAGTTTCACCTCCATCTTGTACACACATGAACTTCTAGAAGGCAAAAAGACGCAGGAGAGAGAAGGCAACATGAGCATGACTTGACCTAACGTGGACATTGGCATGCCATTGAGTTGTGGGCTGCTTCACATTACTTAGACCTTTGCAGAGCGTACAGAGCATGGGAAGCAGAGGAAGAAACAGGTTCCTGCCATTATCCTTGGAAATCAGTGTCCCTGCTGCCTTGAGCGAGACAGCACCAGCTGCACCACATCCGTTCTTGTCACTTTGTCACTCCCCCTCACAGAACGGCTCTGCCAGACTCACTTTAATGATGCCAGCCCTGCGTACTCTCCAGAAGTTCTGAGGTGCTCCTTCTTTTCAGGAGAGCAGTCCTCTCACCTGCAGTTATGCTGAGACAATTCCACCAATGGCTCCCTACACAATAACAAAGACTTATAAACCATAAGGTTAGCGAAGTATGTACTGCTGACACATCTCCTCTAAGCACACTGAATGAAGACCTCTTACCTTTGCCAGTGAGTGTGAACCAAGTTGGGTTTCCTTCCTCTTCCCCATCAGGTCAAAAGCATTTCCAGAACTGGGATGAAGTTATTTCCCTAATGGCCTGCACACTTTCTGTGTCTAGGCCAAACTGTGAACCAGAGGTGATTTGAAGGACCCATGTTTGGTGCTATCAGAGACTGTTTGAAACATTGCTTTGATGTTGCCTCATCTCTAAGGAACAGGCCGTGGGAGCTGTATTTATAGCAGGAAGTTCCTTCACTAAGTCTTGGCAGAAGATGTTGCTTCCCCAATCTGGTGACCAGTCTGTCGCGTTTCATCTTTCCTAATAAACTGAAACACATCAGAACATGAGCACAGCCACCAGATCTTGGTCACCCATGTGGCTCGGTTATCAGCACAGTCCTTGGCACATTTTTAGCTCATGGCAACTAGCACCAACTCAAACAATTCCCAGGCTTGGCTCAGGTGTCAGCACAGGCCAAGAACAGTTCCCAGCAAGGAGTCTGCATTGTGACACCCTGTTTTGAAGGCTGAGACAGAATAATGACATGGATATAGCAGTCAACAGAATTAGGCTTTGCTCAGTTACTGGTATCTAGGCACAGGGTCCCAGGTTCAAAAGTTGCCCCAGACCTGTGCTAGGAAAGAGATTCTCATGGCTACTTTCAGAATCAGACAGCAGAACTCATAATGCTTTCCTCCCCGGTGGTGATGTGTTCCCCTATTTTTCAGAGTATTTTTGTCCCACTTGCAAGACTACAACATCCTTTCAACTTGTGCTAGGCAGATTTAAATTCTTCTGGTTGTGGTTCTCATCTAAATTAAAACAGAATGCTAGGATAAAGATGCTGTGACAAATATCAAATGTATGATGTTAAAATGCAAGTATATTGCATGCGTTCGCGGAGTTGTGTTTTTTGATGCCAACTATCCCTACTCAGAACACAGAAATGGGTGGGGGAAGATTTTATACTAAATCAAGCCATGTCTTGTTTAGCAAGGTTGGGGGGTTTTCCCCATTTAAGTGCATTCTAGGAGTATCATAAGATGTATTTCTCTTCTAAATGTTCCTATCAATAGAGGTCAAATATCATTAGGTCTGAAAAATCTCAATATAGGAGGCTTGTTCTGATCTTTGCAGAATGTAAACTGGGAGCAACTCTGCTGGAGTCAATATACTGAAGTAACTGAGCAAAGAATTGGACAATAAACATTGTGTTGTAAGTGTCCTTCACAAAGAAAGAGCTGTTGAATGAATGTGCAATAGGATTTTTCCTCCAAGAGTAACTGTTCTTACATTTTCCTATCTTAATCTTCCCAATTAAAGTAATCACATCTTTGGGGTATTTTCCCATGTTGCTGTGGGAAAGGCTATTTTAAATAGCAGAGGGAAAAAAACCTAGATCTCAGCAATCAGTGACCACACAATGCTGTACATCTAACCAAGAGTCTGCAAGAGCAGCACAGTCATACTTGTGTGTCTTTAGTCTCTAGAGATCCATGGTAGATCCATGCTAATGGTGGTGCTTAGATCTTCATATTAACTTTAAAGATAGCTTAGGTTGAGTTTTTTTCCATCTCAGGTACTTGGTAAAGTCTGGATGCCTCTGGGCCATGCTGATGGCCCTGTAGATTCAAGGCTCTGCACAGCTTACTCTGATTTCTGAACCGAGTTCAGAAGCAAATGAGCACAAAAGTAACCAGAAAGTACACCAAGAAAAAGCAGTGGAAGTCTGTAGAGATGACTTGTACACTTCTCTTGGCTGTATGAGCTTGAATGAGGTTTCTGTGATAGACTCTGCTGCCCTGTAACATTGCCTGCAAAGAGGGATTTCGCTCTGCATGCAGAGATTTAAATCCTGTCCTTCCTGGAGGTGTTGTCAGGACATCCTGATAGACCATTTCAAGTGAAATCTCCTTGGGTCTCTCTCGAGGAGCTTCAAACCTCTTGTTTGTGGCTGTTCACTTTTGGGGATTCAGGTGGGGTTCTTTTTCAGTGTGATGATGAAACAGTGGTTAAAGGCATTGAGATTAAAAAGAGCTTAACTAGAAGTCTTTATAATTATAGTGATGACTCTTCAGAGGGTATCTTGCCCTGAGCAGAGTGGCAATTCATGCAGCTTTTGACAAAAAGAGACATATATGAAAGTTCTCATGCTTTATTTCAAACAACCTAAACTGTGCCCAGGCAATACAGGCTTCTGCACTCCCAGCACATTTCCAGCCCAGAATTACCCCAGGTGATTAATACCTGCATAAGTTTAGACCAGACTGTCTCTCATTCCTGTATGTGTGCCGTTAGAAAACAACATGAACACGAACCCCAATTTAAGTGATAACAGGAGCTATTCTAGTTGGAAACACCATCAAATGCAGCCCTGCACAGACACTAAAAACACCTTCAGTAAGATTAATGAGATTTCTGGTTTACTAGCCAAAAATTACAAAGGAAAGAACTGTTCGATATTAACACCCTCAAAATAGCATCCACTGAAGTGGAACTATCTGCTTTTGGTGAGAGGGGGACAGTGATTTCTTTTCTTTACATTTTCTTAACGTTTGGGCTCTATTTCAAAATAGAAGACATGTTTCAAAATAATTAGTTTCACATCTTAAATAATGTCGTAAGAATTAATGTAACATCAAAAGGGACTCTAAAGGCAGAATCATTCTATGGGCTATAATTCTATGACTTACATGCCTGTGAGGACTGTGTACATACATGCCCATTGAGATCAGACCTCTTCTAATTGATTGAGGAGGGGGATATTGTATTTCTGATACCACTTTCTTGAGGATGGTGATAACTCTGTCTGGCTGTTCAGGGAAATGCAACATAAATATGTCCTTCTCTCATCAGGATTGTGCTGGGGAGTTGTTTTGCCTACTTGGCCCTCAGTGGTATAAAATCATTGTATTGCGTCACTTGAGTTTGTCCACATTATGTTGGGTCTGTCAACTTCTGCTCTGCAGGAGCCTATGCTAGCTGTTTTGCTCATCTTGGAGCCAGAAGAAAGTTTCTCCAACCCTCCTTTCTTCTCTCCTCACCTTTCTGGGACTCGGGGCTCTCCTCTGAACTCTTAAAGGGAGTTGATATATGCCAAACCATTGCTACCTAGGGTACTTTTCTTCTTAGTTGCTCACTCACACTGCTGTTAATGGAGAAACAGAGAGGCATTTCCAGAGGGCAGCATTCCTTGGGGTGAGATAAACACTGAAGCATATGATGAAAGGAAGATCTTAATTAAGAGTGTTTTAAAATGGGGGAGAAGGGAGAGGGGAGGAGAGAAGTTTTGCCAGTCCTTATGTGGTGGGTGATGGCCAACATTTTCAACAGGAGATCTGACACTTCCCCGGGGGTATTCGAGGACAGTCCAAAACAGAGGGCAGATTATCCCATTTCTGCTTGGCCTGGGGTGCTTGTGCCTCCTGCAGAAGGAGGATCAGTCACTGGCTTGCTTCCAGGAGAAGATATAAGACTGGATGGCCCCAGGGCCTGAGCTGGTTTGGCAGCTCTGGAGTTCACAGAGATGAATAGGAGGAGACAGGACAGAAGCAGCTGAGATAATGAGAGCACAGATCAGACAAATGTGGCTGGTCACCTCTTCTAGCAGCAGAGAAAAAGGGGCATTTGGGAGAACTGAAAGGCAGCAGGATAAAAGGGGAGAAAAGCAAGTCCTTTTGAAACACAGTCCATAGTGAACCTGTGGACTGCAGTTCCTCAAGGCAGTGCTAAGGTGAAGGCTGGATGGGAACTAAAAAGAGATCCAACTTTTCTGGGGTCAGCAAAGACATCTTAATCAAGAAAAAAAAAAAAAAGAAAAATGTTTTTAGGAAATATTCACATTTCAGGACAAGACCCAGCCTTTAACTGGCAAGGGATGGGAGGGCAACTCTCCGTGTACACAACTGTTCTGAAGTTGCCTTGCTATGGACTTTATAACTCTCACAATAAAAGGTATGGGAATATGGATGTTCCTCTGGTCCAGTGTGGATGAGCCCTCCTTGTGCTAGCTTGGACATGGGCTACCCTGTATAGAAACTCAGTGCAAGCCTCATGTCAGGAAATTCCAGTAGGATTCAGTGGTAAAAGACCTTCTTGTCCAGACCTTCTTGGAGATTGGTCCCTGAACTGAGTTCTTTACCTTTGTTTGCCTTCTGCAGTCACCAACAGTTTTGTATTTCTTAGGGACTGGTGACACTGTGTCCTGGGGAGAATGGGGCTGTGGTGATCCTTGGAGGAAGGTCTCAGAACAGCTCCCTAGGAGCAGATATTGAGGGTTTGAAAATCACCCCTTGCCCAATGAAACCAAAACATTTTTCATGGGAAAAGAGCATAGAACAGGACACTGGTTTAACATCTCTTCCCAGTGTCAGGCTCTGTTTGTCATCACTGGTCACTGCAGCTCAAAGCAGAATACAGAGGTGTCACACAGATGTGAGAAGGCCATTCCTGAGTCAAACTTAGGAGTAATGTTCACCATAGGAGGAATAGTGCTAGTCTGCCATAGTGGACTGGTGGCACACTGGGGAAACTGGTTAAAGTATTGTCCTGAAATCCTAAGAGGAAAAGGAATAGCAAAATGGTCTATGCAACCCTTTATTATTCATGTACTGACAATGATCCATATTTTTCCACGTTCAAAGAGAAAAAAAAGAAAAAAAAGGGAAAATTAAGAAAAGTCATTCCCTTCTCTGAAAGGAAAGAGAAAAGAAAGATCAAGCATTGAACTCCAGCAGAAACAAATAAAAGCAGACCCCAGGTCTGATTCTGACCTCTTTTACCCTGGCACAAATAAATAAAACCAGATTTAAAAGTAAGGGGGGAGCAACTTTCCAGCAATGTTGTTACAAAAGCAAAATCTAGCTTGATCTCTGTTGTGTATAAATGCATTTTCAGTCTCTGTGCATCAAGATGAAAACCTGTTCCTTGACTCATACTGAGCTTCAGGGAGGAACGTGCCACCCAAAGGGGAAAACACAATAACAGGGTTCACAGCACAGAGGCCTGAGCAGCCAGCAAGTGATGGGGAGGAACTGAGACATGGCACTTGGCATTAAGCAAGCACTGCCTTTGCACAGGGGTTGATGGAAGGTTTCATGTCGCACTGAATATTTGCTGTCCAGCTCACCCAGGAGAAATCTTGGTATCTTCCCATTTTGTTTTAGTAGAGTCTTCAAGAGAATTAACGTCAGAAAAGAAATAGAACCCCATTTAGGCATCATTTTCAGCTTTAAAGGTACAGGCACCACAGTAAATACTTGGGGAATATGCTACAGTAAGTGCATTAAAATT